AAATCAACGTGTGCAATGCTCTGACAAGAACTCCTGTGAGATGGTTCGAAAGTGTAGTTTGGATGAAACTCAAAACTAGCTTACGTTATTGTTACTGGTTTGGAATATTCTGTCATCCCTTTTAGCTCACTTAACTCATTTTTTTTACCTCAAGAAAGTCCTGAGAAATCTACTATTATCCGAAGATTTAGAAAGTAAATATCTCACCTTCGCTGAAAAGGAATTTTGAATATAAAATAAGATATGACAAGGTATCTTGTCTCCTTTAAATGCACAAGCAAATTTGCTCTGGTATTTATAAATTTCATAACCTGTGATTCATGTTCAAAGAGAAAGCAGCAGCCCACGAGGGATTTGCTCACAGGGAAAGTGCACTTATTATATTAACTCAATTAGATCCGCATTAGAATCGGTTCTCCATGTGGAAGAAACAGAACAATAGTGTATAAAACCACTGCAATTTGAAGTCCTGAGCAGCAGCATGGGTCTCAAAATGACTCACAGAAAATTAATGAACAACCTAAAGCTCTAAATTAGGACAAAAATAAGATTCCCGTAATTCCTCCAATATGGTATTGTAACAAGATTTTAGTAGTAGCCATAGAAATATGACTAATTTAAGATGTTTGTGACACAGAGAACGAGTGGGGGAAAAGGGCCCACAATTCTTGATTCAATTGGTGAGAGCTTGCAACACATTGCCCAGTCACAGTGGGGAGCTCAAGTCATCAAATGTTGTCAAATTACTTTTCTTATTTAGTCATTTCCTTTGAAGACTCATGAACACAGACAACAGTGTGGTGGTTCCCAGAGGAAAGGGGGAGAGGGAATTAATGGTGATGGAAGGACACTTGACTTAGGGTGGTCAACACACAATACAACATACAGATGATGTCTTGTAGAATTATATACCTGAAATCTATGTAATTTTATTAACCAAATGTCACCCCAATAAATTCAATTAAAAATAAATTTAAAAATATTTGTAACTTTTATATACCTATATTGGCATTGTCGATGGCAAGTAATAAATTGATTTGGGGAGTAATGATAATGAGTCATCCTTTGCATTCGGGGTGGACAAAAGTAGGTTTACAGTTGTGAGTACATGAGACACAAAGTTTATTCTTCTATTATTATTTTTTAATTATTGTATTATTTATTTGTATTACAATTGCAAACCTACTTTTGCCCAGCCCTATATATAAGCAGTGTATATGTATATATTTGTATATTATGCATACACATATATACACACACATATATTACATTTGCATACATACACATGCATGTGTGCATTTTTCTTATCTTTCTCTTTTCTAAAAACATAATGAGGACAGATTGTCCTGGCAAGTCCCAGTCCCAGGATAAGATATACGAGGAATGCCAGGGTCATGATTTTATTTGTTTTGTTGTCTTTTCTTCCCTAGGAAATTTCTGGAGGAATTAAATGTGCAAACTCAGAACACTACGAAATTACTGGTCAGAAATAAATGGCCACAATAAGACCACTCTACTGATGAAACTCTGACTTCCCAAAGTGAAAGCAAGAGAGCTGCATTACTCTGTTGGCTTTACAATTTCTTCACAAATTAAAAACGCTCTTTTCTTGTCTCTCCAGCAGATCAGAAACTTCTGCATACCTGGTATCTAAATCAGTTTTCCAAATGAAATGAGTGCAGGCAAGGTCAGAGGCAGCTCTGACCAGGGCTACGACAAGAAAGAAGTCACCTTTTACCCACGTGACAATATCCATTCAAAAATGTGCTGACTTGACAACAATAATGATTGCTGTGGGTTGAACTATATTTTCTCAATAGATATATTGAGGTCTTAACCCCTGGTACTTGTGAATGTGACCTTATTTGGAAATAGGGTATTTGCAGATGTAATTAGATGAGATCATACTAGAATAGGGTGGGTCCTTAATCCCATATGACTGGTGTCCTTTTTGGACAAGGGAAGATGGCCATGTGAAGACAGAGGCAGAGATTGGAGTTACGCTGCCACAAGCCAAAGAATGCCCGCCTGGGGGTGCCACAAGCTGGGAGAGGCAAGGAAGGATTTTCCGCCAGAGACTTTGAATGGAACATGACCCTGCTAACACCTCGATTTTCGATATCTAGCCTCCAGAACTATGAGAAGACAAATTTCTGTTGTTAAGCCACCCAGTTTGTGGTACTTTGTCATGGTAGCCCTAGCAAATGAATACAATGGTAATAGTCATATTAATAACAATAGCAGTGTCCCATACATTGAGTGTTTTGTTTATGTACCAGTAACAATTCCAAGTGCTTTGTATGTACTAACTCATTGGTCTTATGGTAGTTTCTATTTACATCCCTCGTTTTACAGAGGAGGAAGCAGGCGTGGAAAGCAAAGGAAAGCCTAATTGAATGTGCAACGGGGAAATTTGATTTCATGGAAATAAAACAGACCATCTAAGCAGGTTTCCAGTGTAAGCATCTTTCCAGCACAAGCCTCCTGGACAGGTGTGGGGTGCGGTGTCAGGAGACATTGCCTCTGGCCTTGATTTTGCTATAAACTACCCTGCAGTGCCTCTTGGGCATTCATTTACTTAAATGTAAAACCAGGGAAATTGGATGATCTCAGAGGTGCCTCCCAGCCATGAAACTCTCAGATTCCACTAGAAACTTATGATTCAAGTGGTCGGATAGTGGTCACTTGCTAGAGGCCAATTTTGCCCTGAGGTCAGGGTTTGACATTCTACCAGACTGGTTCTACAAATTTTCAAGACACAAGGTTCTGGTTTTCCACTCAGGCCTATGGCAAGTGCTCTGATGTTGACTTGGTCATCTGGCCCCAGGACTTAAAGGATCAATAGGACTCCGTGATGCCAGTGCCTCTGCCCTGGCCAGAGGCCCTTTACCACATGGCCCAGGGAGGCAGCTTCTGTCTCATCTGACTGGGGGAGAGCCTGCTTGACCTCACAGGGGTGAGGATATTCCCAGGGGAGCAGCAAGCACAGAAGGCCCAGTACAGGCATGTTTGCAAAGCTTCATGATTGGTAAAATGCTTTTGAAAACAATGGTTGTTCAACCTCTTTATTTATTTCTAACCTATGTCATAGCATCATTCCAGGTTCACTAAGCCCTAGCAGATGAAGATCTGGCCAGTCATGACCACCCTCCTGGTAATGCCTATTTGATCTCCTAACCAAACTACAAATCCAGACAAATAATCCTCAAACATAGAAGATACACCGCAAATTCATCACCACAGGCTGTGCTGCAGTTCTGGACCTTAGGGCTGGGATATGCTGCTGAGAATGCCTCCTCCCATTCGCTCACCAGCAGGTCGACCTCTCTGGAGCTTCAGAAGCTCTGATGCCACCTGCTTTGTCCCCGACCCGGTACATACAGAGTAAGAGTATACAAAGCCTGTGTCTTAATGGGGGTGAAACCAGTCGGGTAAGAGGCATCTTGGGATATAAACTAGACATAGGTAGACTACTGGGGCAAAACCAGCTTATTGAATCCAGCATTATCTGGGTTAGAAGGTAATTTTTTGGGGGGTGGCTTAAACAACAGAAATTTATTGTCTCACAGTCCTGGACACCAGAAGTCCAAAATCAAAATGTTGGTAGGGCTGGTTCCTTCTGAGGGCTGTGAGGGAAGAATCTGTTCCCAGCCTCTTTCCTTAGCTTGTAGATGGCCATCTTCTCCCTCTTCTTCCCTGTATATCCTCATGTTGTCTTCCCTCAATGAGCGTCTGCGTATTCAAATTTCCCCTTTTTATAAAGACATCAATCATATTGAATTAGGGGCCCACTCTACTCCAATATGACCTCATCTTAATTTAACTAATTACATCTGCAATGACCCTGTTTCTAAACAAGATCACATTTAAAGGCAGTGGGGGGTTAAGACTTCAACATAGGAATTTTTGGTGGATGTAGTTCAACTCATAGCACCCTCCAACTTCTTAGAACACTTAATACTATTAGATGTCAGCAGAAGGTAATTTTTAAGACGCCTCACAGGAGTGAAGTCTCAGACTCAGCTCTCTCAGCCCATTCCTATCTCTTGCCCGGCTATGGAATCTATTTCTACAGTATTTCTCCTCTAGCTTTCCAGGGAGGCTGTAGAATATAATCATGTGGGCTCTAAAGTCAAAACCTTTAATCCTTAGAATCCCAGCTCCACCACTTACTAGCTCTGGGACCTTGGAAAGTTACTTAACTTCTGTAGGCCTAGGTTTCTTCATCTATAAAATGGGGCATAAAAGTACTTTCTCAATCATGGGTGTTATAGACTGGATTATGTCTCTCTAAAAGTCATATGTTGAAGTTCTAACCCCCAGTACCTCAGAATGTGACCTTATTTGGAAATCGGGTGATCGCAGATGCAATTAATTAAGTTAAGGTCATATTGGAGTAGAGCGGGCCCCTAGTCCAATATGACTAATGTTCTTAAAAAAGAACACCATGTGAAAAGAAAGATATACAGGGAGAATCCAGCCATCTGCAAGCAAGGAGAGGAGCCTGGAACAGATCCTTCCCTCACAGCTCTCAGAAAGAACCACCTTGCCAACATCGTGATTTAGGACTTTTAGACTCCAGAACTGTGAGACAAAAAATTGTTGTCCCAGCCACCTGGCTTGTGGTACTTTGTTACGGCAGCTCTGGCAAACTAATACAATGAGATGTTAGTGAGGATGCAATGAGCTATTTCATATAAAGCACTTAACATGGTTCCTGGTACTACATAAACAGCATGCAATTGAAAGCTGCATTTGTTATTATTGGTGTCGTTGTTGACACACTATACTGCTAGTAAGTGGAGTAACAACATACTTATGTTGGATCTTTCGGGCACCAACCCCACATTTAGGCCCAAAGAAGCTTCAGGATATCTTCAATTGGCATGATTCCTTGCTCTAGCTCTTCTCACACATTTCATTTTGAGTTTACTTTGGTTTAGTCTCTAATTAAAAATTGATTTATGTCCACAAAAGAAAACTTTAATTCTCAGAAAGAATAAAAACCATAAAAACAAACTCCTTTAATTGCTTTCTTCTCAGAGGCAACCAATTTAGCCATATTTCTTTCCAATCTTTTTGATGCTTTTCTTATACAGTTGGCTTCATTGTCTCCATTCAGTTTGTGTTCTGACTTGCAGCGTTACGCGAACCTTCCAGGGCCCATGCTAATCTCTTTATACGCACCGTCCTATATAACGTCCACACGATATAAGGTATATTATTACCTCCATTTTACAGATGAGGAACATGTGGCTCAGTGGGGTTAAGCATCTTGCCCAGATCGCACATGGTGAAGCTCAAAGAGAAGAAATAAACTTGCCTTCCTATTTCTCCGGTTTATGAGGCCATTGACCCAGTGATGAGACGTCTCAGAGAATGATGTGAATACTGATCATAGGCTCCTCCTGGAATAAAGTGGTGGGTCCAGTAAACAGACCTAAAGAGGGCCGCTCTGCCTCTCTGCTTTGTGCCGCTGCCTTCCTCCTGAGGAACGCAGCTTTTAGCACCGCCACAGGCTGAGCGAGTCACCAGGGAGCTGCGAGGCAAGTGGGAATTGATGACCGTCTGCAAACAGACACCAGAGAGGGGAACATTTTAGGGATGGGCTGTTGTTTTCAGATTAGGCAGCAAAACAGAATGGTGAAGCGACATACAGAGAGATACTTTGACCTTGACCTTTGGCAGGAAGTAAAATTAAGTCCAATCATTCACTTAATAAAAGCCATTCGTCAAAGAGACCTAAATTTACACGCTTATTTCAACAGGCATCTTGTCCTTGTTGAAAAACAAGCTCGGCTTCCAAGTCATTTTAAGATCACATATTAGTGCAATGGGGAGCTTAGCCAGGGAGGTGATGAGACCACCAAAGGAAACGAGAATCATTAATTGAGGCACAATGGAAGGGTGGAGCTGCTGGTAAAGGGTAATGATATTTGGGAGCTACGGCGTGGGGGGCAAGATGCATAGAAGAGAACAAGAGGGAGGGGTGACTCCTGAACTTGGTTTCAGGAAAACAAGATCCATAAGCACAGAGGAAATTTTTTAAAAATACAACTTTACAAAATGAGATTCCAGATTATTTTTCAGTTAGTATCAGAGAGGGTTTCATGTGGCAACAAATTTTCAGTCACAGCTGGAAACACATTCTTTCAGAAGCACAGATCCGCTGGTTGTTTTATTGCACTCTAGGGGGTATTGTTGAAAATAACAAGCTAGATTTCTTTCTGGGCTCATTGGTACCTGGGCCTGCACTGTGGCTCTATCCGTCTTCCTAGGACAAGCAGTGGGCTTGAAACCTAATCCTGTAATTTCCCTTCTATAAGATTTCCTCCCAAGGTGTCCCAGTCAGCCCATACTTCCCACTCCAAGGAAGCAGGGTCCATTCTTGGCAAGAAATCTTGGCCCTTTAACATTTCAGAACAAAATCATATCCCATTCCTCACACATGGTTGTTTGCCCCATCCCGGTGCTCTGTCACAGGGAACTGGGGCTGCTGTGGTGTCCATGTGGGGCCATTCACTGGACACAGACAGAAATGAATGACAGGGCAATATGCAAAACTTTCAGGTGAATGTGCATCCTTGGGTTTCTGTAAAGGAGCAACAGAACAACACAAACCGCATTTTCCAGTTGTGTGCAGATTGCATTCCGAATCACTTGGAGGCCAATTTGATCGGAGAGGCTGGTGTAGCTATCAGCTCACCTGTTGTCTCCATTCTACAGGGCCTGGTTGGCTGCTCGACAAATGGAACTGAATGGTGACCACAGAGTGAGAAAGCAGGGATCTGGTTCAGTCCTCTGAAGAGGGCAATGGCCGCTCCAGTTGCAGGGTGTGATTCTGATATTTAGAAACATGGTGCACTCAGGGGCGCACACCACAAAGCCAAGTGCACGGCATCATGGCACTTGAATGACTGTGTGAGACCCTTTGTGTTCGCCCTTCACTTTGAATGTGGCCTTCAAAGTGCCCAGGGGAGAGTGCGGTCCACTTGGCAAACTTGATCCTTTCCTACTGAGAAATGTTCCTCTACGTAGCGTCTGAAATGCCAGGTCTCGCCTGGTCTCTCCTCTCTTTCTCTCCTTGCACCTTTTCCTGTGTTTCACATTTTCTCTTTAATTTTGCTGTTTTGCCCTTGTCTATGTCCAACATCTTTATTCTCCTCGAAGTTTAGGACAATTCCTTAGTAACTTGGTACTGCCCTACATATTCACTACAAAAGGTTAATATTTATTAACTTATTCATTTTATCCCACTCCGGGTCCTGCAAATTTCCAAAGCAGCTTCGCACTGGTGACCCCTATTTAAATCACAGCCGCTTCCTGTTCATCTCTCACTTTATAGCTTGGAGTCTGGGGAGCTGCTTGAGTTTATTTACCATCAGACATTTCCGCCAGTTGCAATCAAACTTGTTTTCTGATTGTTTTATGGTCACCTATTCCAATTGTCAGGTACCTAGCTGGTAGGCATATGCTGGCATGAACAAACTTAGGATGTACACTTTCAATTCAGCTATTTAAATATTTACATTTCAAGAAGATGCTAGAATAGCCCTAGCCAGTTTGGCTCAGTGGCTAGAGCATCAGTCTGAAGACTGAAGGGTTCCAGGTTCGATTCTGGCAAAGGGCACGAACCCCGGTTGCGGGCTCGATCCCTGGCCCTGGTTGGGGTGCGTGCAGGAGGCAAGCAATAGATGTGTCTCTCTCACATCGATGTTTCTCTCTCTCTCTCTCTCTCTCTCTTTCTCTCTCTCTCTCACTCTCTGTCTCTCTCTCTCCCTCTTTCTCTACCACTCTCTCTGAAAAGCAATAGAAAAAATATCTTCATGTGAGGATTAAAAAAAAAAGATGCTAGAACAAGTGCTTTCCCCAAGGACACTTACATGCTCCTAAGTTTAACATAGAGCCCAATGTTATGTATCTGCAGGAAACAGTCCGCCCATGAAGTGTCATGATAAAGCTGAAATGAAGTTTAAATAGCAGGCTAAGGGGACATAAAGAAAGAAGAATTGTATCACGGACAAGTTAATACAAGAATTGCGCTTTAGGAACATATGAAGAGAGGTACAAGCCCTATCTTTGGATTTACTGTGAAATTCAGCTGTCACTCCATTACACTCTAATAGTAGATCTCCAGAAAAGAACAACCATACAGAAAGGAGACAAAAAATATGAGAGCATTTCCCTTCAACTGCTTGTGTTTCAGCAGTAATAATAACAGCTGCCAATACTGTGTTATATATTTAAAAGTTACTAAGAGAGTAGATCTTAAAAGTTCCCATCACAAAAAAATAACAAAACATAACTATGTGAGGTGAGGGATCCTAACTAAACTTATAGTTAACATTTCACAATATATACATATATCAAATCATCATGTTGTATACCTAAAACTAATACAATGGTTTATGTCAATTATATCTTAATAAAACTGGGGAGAAAATAATAGCTACCATTTATTGAGAACTTCTTATTTGCTTCCATTGGTCTAACTGCTTTATACGCATGAACTTAGTAATTCCAATAGGCTTAGGTCCGAGGCATCTTTGTCCCCTTTTTACAAATCAAATCATTAGGTTAAAAAACTTACTCAAGGTCACAGAGTTAATAACTGGTCAGGCCAGGATCAGCCTTAGGTATGCCTGGCACCTAATCCCATACACTTAACCGTCCAGCTTTTACCTCCTATGCTTTAGAGCCAGTGAAATCTTGTCTCACCATTAACCAACATGACCTCAGCTTGCTCCAAATAGGTCTTCCCATTTGCAGTCGGTCCCCACCTCCAACCCCTGGGCCAGGACAAACACTGATTTGCTTTCTGTCACTGTAGTTTTGTCTCTTCTGGAATTTCATATAAACGGGGTCAAACAGTTGGAAGTCTGCTGTGTCTGGCTTCTTTCGTGTTGCATGATGCTTTTGAAATTCATTAAAGCTGTTGCTTGCATATGAGAGCTATTTTCTTACCTTTACTTTTATGCCACTATACCAGTCTCTCATCTTAAGTGCAAAATACTATTAAACAAAATAAATAGATGACTAAAGAAATCTCCTGTGACTCCACAGCCTCCTTCCAGCCTCCCCTATTGCTCTCCTCTTTGTAGCTAAACTTTTTGAAACAATCAGCCCTTTACTTTCTCCCTTCCCACTCTTTCCTCAACTCACTGCATTCTGGTTTCAGCCCCACGACACCAGCCCCACGACACCTCTGAAACAAGGTCAGCTCCCCTTTCACTAGATCCATGGACACTTCACTTTTATCTTTCTTATCTTTTTAGCCACATTTGATGTGTTGGGCACTCCTCCTTTAAACTCTCCTGATTCTCTTCTTCCCTCTCTGACCCCGCCTTCTCAGCCTCCCTCCTCGATATACCTTTAACATGTGTTCCCTGGGGTGTAAGTCCTAAGACCTCTGTTGTGGTCACTTGCATCCCCTTCCTGGACAATTTCAACTATCCTCATAGTTTTCTCTAGCTCTGATCTCTTTCCTGAATTCTAGACAAATGTATGCTTCTGTCTAATAAATATCTGCATTTGAATATCCCATAGATACATCAGAATCATATACTCAAAATTATATTCATCATTTCAATACCCCCCTCCAAAAAAAACAAACACCAAAAACCCCCAAAACACCAAAACGGTTCCTCCACCTGGGTTCCCACTTTTAGTAAATGGTTTTACTATCAACCATTTGTCCAAACCAAAAATCAAGATTTGTCTGTCTTTCATGCTCCCAACCCCTCATGTTCAATAAATCACCAAGACTAGTCAATGCTACCTCCCAAATCCCAGAACCTGTACACTTCTCTCCATTCCCACTCTCAAGCCACCATTATGTCTCCCCATGACCACTTCCCTGCTCTGTAATGTTTTCATCACTGTGATTTTCTAAAACACAAATCTGACCTTTCACCTTCCTGTTTGAAACTATTTCGTCTCTATCCTAAGCTCCTAAGAAAGAAAACACCTCCATGACTGGCCCCAGCTCACCACCCTAGTCTTTAGAGATAATCAGTATCTTAGGTATAAGCCCCTTGGAAGAGGTCATCTGACTGTCACTTGGGTCTTAAACAGAAGAAACTAGGAATGTAACAAGTGACAGGTTCTTGGCCATTTCCCATGAGGCTGGGTCTTGGCAATGACTGAAGGTAAGTCCCCCAACCCAAAGGCAGAGTAGTTGTGTTCAGGCAGAACTTACAAGGGAAGAGAAAGACAAGACAATGGGAAGAAAAGAGGAGCTCAGAGGCCCCATCCTGGAAATGTGGGGCTCAAGTGAATCAACAGAGCCTCTTTGCTCTGTCCCATATTTTGGAAGGACCTGGTCAAAGGGCTTTTAATGAGGAAAAAAGCATTACTGATCTCAGAGATCTTCTCATCACCATTAAGAGTATCTTTTAAATCAGTCACGTTGGGTTTGGGGTAGACCAAAGAGAGACCAGAAAGCAGATACCACTCCCTTCTCAGATGTTTGGCCAGAAACAAGGACTGGAGATCCGAAGTGAGCTTGACTGTGGGTTCAGTTTATAGTTGAGTGTTTATGGTTATTGGCTTTCTCCCAGGATGCCTTT